GAATTTATTGGCCAAAGACTGCAGCTGCAGTTCTGAAGTCAGACTATATTTTTTAACGTCTATAGACATTGAAATTTCGCTACAGGAAGTTTAGCTCACACCAAAAAAAAAAAAAAGTTAAAGAATGCATTCAGAATTCCAGTTTAATCCCCGAGTTAAAACCTTCTCTGCACTACCAAAAAGAGGATGCAAACAGTAGAAATAAATGTCTGTGTTTGGGCATCCTTTATTTGGGTGATTTTGTTTGAAAAATATTGCATTAATTTTTATTAGACAAAGTTAGATTTTCTGATGTGTGTTTTCTTGGCAGAATAGAACTTGTTTTGGTGACAAAAGTTGTATTTACATTGTTATCATAAAATATTTTGGAGTGGCGCAGATACATATAGATATGGAAGGTCCTCTCCCTGAGAAATCGAAACTCACTTCCTCAGTAAGGGCCTGTAATTTACAAAGAATTACAGGATTACTGAACGTAGACTGGTTTTCTCCAAGGAAAAGAAAGTGGTAACTTATTAAGAAAACTCAATTCCAAACACAAAATGGAAAAATCTGGCATGTAAACACATACAAAACAAGCTGAAATGTCCAAAACACCATTTTTAAATCACTTACAAAATTACCAAAATGAGGAAAAATTTCCTCTGTAGGAGTTAGATCAGTTCGATGCTTTCTGGGACTGACCTACTAAGTTGACTGATGTTTCTTGAAAAGTAGAAAATGTATTTAACCTCCTCACAAAACACGATTGCCTTTAGATTGCTCAAAATTTTTGAATCATTTTCTAACATCCCTCAACTAAAAACCAAACCAAAACAATTGTACACATACACACCACCACCAACAACAAAAAACCCTATTTAGTGCTGCCCCTAAAGAGGAAAAAATTTTTCCTTTTATTTCATTTCTTTTTTTATTTTTTGGTAAGAGCCATTAAAGATAAAATTTCTAGGAAAGCAATAAAAATGAAAAATTATATGAAAAAATTCTGCTGAAATGTTATCATGTAGTTTAGCTGTAAGTTCATCACAGATGGTTTTTCATGTTGTAATAGAAAAATCACTTCTGACTTTGGTGCTACATTTAGATTAGAAAGCCGCAATAACTTTGAACTTTCTTGTGGCATTGGTTACATAATTAACTGGTTATTTGTATAGTTGGATGGTAACAACAAAAGCGGAGGCTTATTTAACTAAAATGATTGATTATCTGCCTATATTTATATGTATGTTAATGAAGCAATTTTTGTGTAGAGGATAATAACTTATGGGAATGCATTACAGTTTTCAAAGAAGCATCACATTTTTATTTGATAATATATTTACTGTAATGATTAGCATGTGACTTTCTTCTATAAAAGGCATAGTTTTATTTATTGCTTACACACCTATATAGCACTTGCCCCTCAGAATTTGCCATTGTTTTACTATGATCTTTATCACTTAAGGCAGGAGGGGGACTTGCATAAATGTATAATGTGACAAGCATATATAGGCAGGTACACTCGATTAAAATAAAATCAAACGCTTCCATGGATGTGATGATATTTACTTTATATGACAGTAATTAGCTAAACTATCTGGAACGAAAACCTATTATTAGTTGAGCACAGCTCCGGGATTTTAAAGATCCTCTTTTCAGACAAGAGAATGCAAATGCCCCAGAACATGATCGTAACTGGATACTCCTTGGAACCAGATTCCACGTCCTGATAAGTGACTCCGGAGCACCACAGGCGGCTGTAAAGTACCACTGCTCTGGCGCTCTCCTCCCCAAGAGGGGTGCACAGCTGGTGGTGTGTACTCTCTCCAGGTCCTCGGGGCTGCAGGCTGCAGGCAGCTCAGCTCCCAGAAAGGCAGGCCACTTAGATAGGATTGGCCTGGTGGGGATCCCTGCTGGGAAGGTCTGCTTGGAGGGAACCAGACCCACAAAAAGCAACCTGAAAAACCAGGGGAGGGCAGCGGGAGACACCCTGAACCCCTGCACAGGGCATGAGGCCAAGATCAGCTCCAGGTATCAAGTAGAAGCCTCCCGCCGGCTCGATCAGCCCTGCTCATGGCTGGGTGTGAGAAAAGAGGGACAGGGCACAGAAACTGCCTGCTAGGCCCCTGCACCTGGGCTCCCCGGGCTCCAGATCCTCACCTGCTTTCAGCCCAGTAGTTCTGAACTGAGTCCCCAGGCAGCCTGCTGAGGAGCAACTGACCAGGGGATGCAGGGGATAAGCCACTCAGCCTGGCCCAGGGGTACCTGGCTGAGTACTGGTGGCAGCGGGTTTGGAGGAAAACAACTGACTGGGCCTGCGGGTGGGGAGGAGACAGCCTTCTGTGTGCTCAGGGCAGAGGCAACTGGGTAGATACCAGCGGCAGCCGGTATGTGGGCATACCTTGTTGTTCTCAGTGCCCCTGAGCCTAAAAGCAAAGCCTGCAGAGAAGCAAGAGAAGTGTAGCAAGGAGAAATGCAGGCTTTGGTTAGAAATGAGAGATAGTTTTGGTAGCTTTTGTCTTTTTCTTTCTTTTTTCCCTGAATCTTGAAATCACACAAGAAAAACATCCGGGGGTGGATAGGTGGGAAATGGGGTCCTTAGGGGACAAGAAACATTCCCGGGGCAACCTCTAGCCCTAGAGATGGGGGCAGAAAGTGAAGCTGGAACGCAGCTTCCTTCTTTTACACTTGCCTGCCACCACAACGCACACATTCAAGGATCCCCTCCCCGCAGTGCCCTGCACTCACCCCCACCTCTTTCTGGATCTTTGCGCCCAAGCGTTGTTGATCTGCCACAAAACCAGGCTCATCCTTCTCTCTGCAACACCATGGCCTGGTTTGGAGACGCCAGCCCGCCTGGGCCGCCAACGGTCTGAGAATTCAAAGCAGAAAGGCACGGGTGCCCCTGTAGCTGTGGTATAGTCTTCCTGGTGCAAAGCCCTGCCCAAAGAGGGCCTCCCCGCAGCCCACCGGCAACCACCACCTAAGTACTCCCCAGCGCACGTGGCCCGTGCTGCTGCATCCCAGCTCCCCAGCGCCCCAGGGGCTGACTCCCCAAGCATTTCCGTTCCCTCCTGAACAGCCCCGCCTCTATCCCCTCCCGACCGGCTGTTCTTTCTCTCCCAGGCCTTGGACACCCACTCCTACTGCCTTGCCGGGGAAGGGGGGGCAAAGGGGGCACCTGGCAGCTCTCCACTCTGCCCCGACTCCCATTCCATGTCTGCAACCAGCCAGGGACATTGTCCACAGTCCCTGCACGGTCCACCCTGCTCCTTCCAGCTGATACTCCGGTCTCTTCCAGCTCCACCACCATGGCCGCCAAAAAATGCTTGGGGAGGCTAGGGCTGGATCAAGGGCACCAAGGTTGGGCAGGGAAAAGATCTCTCTTTTTTCAAGGCCAGCACTGTTCACGGTCTTTCTGTGGGCCTCACAGCAGCGACCGCTGCTCCTCACTGGGCTAGGTGTGATGGCAAGCGAACACCTATTGTACTGGAAGATAATCCCTACCAGCTCAGAGTTTCCAGAATCTCAGGGAATACCACAGATTCACCCAGAAAACAACTAGGGCAGGGCCGCATGAGGGTGCCAGATGGAGTGTGGGTTGGAAAAATTAGATGCCACCAAGGGTCAAGGCCTAGAAACAGGCGCCCAATTTCAATAGACGGAAAAGACAGCCTCCATGGCTGGGTTGCCTCCCTTCTGAGGACAGATCCTGCACTCAAGACGGAGCCTTGTGCATGGCACTCCAGCTATGTCATCACCAGTGCAGTCAACAAACACTGCTTGACCTCTCAGGTTGAATGGCTGTAATTGACATGTATTTGAGCACTTAACATGCATGGGGACTTCTCTTAGTTCCTGACATGTTTTGCCTCATTTATTCCTGGCAGCAACCCTGAAGAAGGTATTACTGTCTCCTTTTTGCAAACAAAGAAACTGAGGCTTAGAAACACCCAAGGCCACACACTGACTAGGCTAGGATTCAAACCAGGACAACAAATTTCAGTAATAACTCACTTCACTGTATGGTCTTTCACATACCTGCTTAGTGCAGTTGCTGCAAAGGCTAGGAGCGCAAATGCAACCAGCATCCTGCCCTCAGGGGCTCATAGTTACCTGGGTTGAGCAGGCAAGCAATACGGCTACAGTAGTAGGTGGGAAGTAATAAGTGACACACATGTCCTTTACTAACACGTGCTGCAAGTTCAGATTCGAGAGAGATGACTTCTGGCTAGGCAATCAGGGAGCTTGCTTCCTTGGAGAAAGGTGGTATTTGAACAGAACCTTGGAGAACAGCTTTTGACTCATGGAATCAAGGGTGGGGAAGTGTTTCAATTGGAGGGAACAGCTTGAGCAAAGGCAACGAGGCAGGAATAGACACGTCGCTAATCTATAGACATATATAACACATTCTGTCTTCTTGGGGATCCAGTGCCTGGTATTTACAGGCCAGGAACTTTCCTGACCGGCAACAGCTGGAAAAATCACGCTCCTGGGCCATCCATCCTTCCTGGAGTTGATTTGCAGACAGGAAGCCTCCCAGAACTGGCGCTGGCCGGGAAGCTGCAGCCAGGAGGCGTAGGAGTCAGTGTTCGGGCACCCAACGTGGTGCAGCCTCACTAGCTGGGACTTGAACTTCCCTCGAGACTCTACACTAGTCCTTGTCAATTCTGGTAGCACCACTACACCCTACTCAGTGGATGCCGGGGGCGTGGTCCACATGACCTGGAACCAATGGGAAGGGAGGCCAAGGCGAGAGCCCCGCCCCCGACATGACGCATGAAGGCCAGACACAGGCTTCACAGCGGAGGCCCCAGTCTCTGCAGTGGTTGTAACAAAACCCAGACTCCCAGGTCTGGGCCAATGGAGGCGATTTAGACTGGAGCCGGACCGGGTCTGTCAAAAACCCTACTCGGCAGCAGCGGTGGAGTCCAGAAGGAGCGCTGGTGCCGCGGTGCTTCCTCCCCGCCCCCGCTGGAATTTATTGAGTATTTGGACTGGACAATTAAGTGGCCCTGATGATGTTACCAAGCCCGGTCACCTCCACCCCTTTCTCAGTCAAAGACATTTTGAACCTGGAGCAGCAGCAGCAGCAACAGCACTTCCACGGCGCTCACTTGCAAGCGGACTTGGAGCACCACTTCCACTCGGCACCCTGCATGCTGGCCGCTGCGGATGGGACACAATTTTCTGACGGAGGGGAAGAAGACGAGGAAGAGGAGGGCGAGAAACTGTCCTATTTGAACTCACTGGCCACAGCCGATGGCCACGGGGATTCGGGACTCTGTCCCCAGAGCTATGTCCACGCAGTCCTGCGAGACTCGTGCAGTGGGCCTAAGGAACATGAAGAGGAGTCCGAGATCGTGAGGGACCGGAGCCAAAGTGAGTACAGGGGGGGAAAAAATGCACCCGCACATCTGGAGCAATGGCGGAGCGTCCACAAATAGCCCACAAACCTTACCAGCATGGCTGCCTGCCCCTTTACCCTTTGGCTGGGGTCATACCTCGCCCTGGTCAATGACAACTCCACAAAAAGCAGGTGCTGGGGCGCAGGGAAAAGGACCAAGAGACCCTGATAACGACTCCTCCCAAAGAGGGGTCGATGCAGCCCCCAAGGGGAGAGAAAGTAGTTATTGCTGCCCTGATGCTGATAAGCAACAGGGGCTCAGCTGCTGGGTCCGGGCAGCTCACTGTATTTTTGCTCTTCCCAAGAGCTAGAGGGGCAATAACCTGAATCTTTTTTACTTTCCCTCTAGCATGAGACGAGTTCTCTGATGCCAGAGAACTGGTCCCTCTTCTCAGAAGAGAGGGTCCAAGCAGGTTGTGTCTGCAGCGTCCGCAGGGCCCGCAGGGCACAGGAACTTTGGTAGAGACCAGCAGAGTGATTTCCTCACATCCCTACTTGGAGTTCAGCGTTCTCGAACCTACAGCTCCGGGTAGAGAGGGAGGGGATAGGGGATAGCTGGAAAGTGCAAGGGAACACAGCCCGTTCGGCAGAGCAATCACGCCCCTGAGGCCCCAGCCTTTAAAAAAAAAAAAAAATTGTAACGTTTTGCTTTGTGTCCCAAACTAAGCGGCTGTGGGCTGAGGAAAAACCGCGCCGAACTTAGTCCAAAATCCCAGCCACTCACATCGGATGGGAGGTGACTTGGGTAGGGAAATCGGATAACTGAATAAAAGCTCCAAGGAAACGTTTGTTTCTGAGGGGACACAGTCTAATCTCTTTCCCCAAGAGGAGATTTGATGTGTTCAAAGCCAAGGCCTGTGTTCTGACAGCTCCGTGGGCCTAAAATCGACACGAAACTGTTTAAATCATTCAATCAAATTTCTTTTTCTAAGGTAGCACAGACATCACACTAACATTTAGTTATGAGCATGTAGTCGTTAAAGAGCAAAACACAGTCCCTGGGCAATGCATGACCATTACACTCAGACACTTCCCTATCAGATTTTCGAACAACTCTCGCATACTCACCCCCAAATACCAACATGCCTCACACTTTCAGCTATCCGTGACAGACTGGAAGGCAAACAAGTTTGCAAATACTGTAGTTATTATGTAGTTGCAAACTTGCATCCTGAAAATAGTCATTAGCACGCTGAGCCGCACATTTAATACAGGGTAATCTCTTCTTTCTCAGATGCTCAAGTTCTAAATAAACGCGCACTTACTACCCCTCCCCATGGAACGTGCCTCAAGGGCGTTCTGACTGTACTTGGGCGGTCGTAGGGTCCCACGGTGCCAAGAACCACAAACTTTTCCAAAACTCCAAGCATCTACTACCGCTCTCTCCGTACTGCTATCAAGTGGGGCCACAGTGTTTTGGGATCGGAGCCGCCGCGAGGCCCGGAACATCTAAGGGACGCAGTTGTTTTTCTTCCGCAGAAAACTGCCCGCTGAAGAAGCCTCTGGAGGCGGCCGGAGACTGTAAGGCGGCAGAGGACAGCGAGAGGCCGAAGCCACGAAGCCGCCGGAAGCCCCGGGTCCTCTTCTCGCAAGCCCAGGTCTTCGAGCTGGAACGCAGGTTCAAGCAGCAGCGGTACCTGTCGGCGCCTGAGCGCGAGCACCTCGCCAGTAGCCTGAAGCTCACGTCCACTCAGGTGAAGATCTGGTTCCAGAATCGCAGGTACAAGTGCAAGAGACAGCGGCAGGACAAGTCTCTAGAGCTGAGTGCGCACGCTCCCCCGCCGCCGCCGCGCCGCGTGGCCGTGCCGGTGCTGGTGCGGGACGGCAAGCCATGTGTCACGCCCGGCGCGCAAGCCTACGGTGCGCCCTACAGCGTGAGCGCGGGCGCCTACTCCTACAACAGCTTCCCCGCCTACGGCTATGGGAACTCGGCCGCGGCTGCCGCAGCCGCGGCTGCTGCCGCCGCCGCGGCTGCGGCCTACAGTGGTAGCTACGGCTGTGCGTACCCAGCCGGCGGCGGCAACGGCGGCGGAGGCGGCGGGGCCTCTGCGACAGCCGGAGCCATGCAGCCCGCCTGCAGCGTGGCCGGAGGCGGCCCTTTTGTGAACATGAGCAACCTGGGCGGCTTCGGTGGCGGTGGCGGCGCCCAGCCGCTGCACCAGGGTGCGGCGGCCGGGGGAGCTTGCGCGCAGGGCACCTTGCAGGGAATCCGGGCCTGGTAGGGTCACGGCTGCAGGCGCCCCACCGCAGCCTCGCGCCGCGGGACTGAAGCGCGAGAAAGGCTAGATCCAAGGGCCCCGTCCCTTCGTTAAAAAAAAAATAAAAATAAAATAAACGTCTCGCTCCCCAGAGCCCAGGAGCGCAGCTCATACAAGGCCGGAGGAAGGGGGCCCAAGGGCGAGGAGGATGCCCTGAACGGGTCGCGGACACTGTTTCTAAGGCAGAAAGGCCGCTTGGGTGCCTGAGAGAACGATGGCCCCAACCTGGCCCTGAAGGGAGTGCGCGAGGCTGGGAATCTGGCTGCCGCTTGTTTCTCCCAGGGAGAGAAGGCCTTCCCGTGGCCTCTTTGAAATGTTGGCGGAAACTCCAAGGCCAAAAAAAAAAGAAAAAAAAAAAAAAAGGCATGAAGGAGAGAAAAACGGGCATCGTGGCTTGAGAAATCCCCAGGCCCTGCCGACCCTCTGACCCCTTTGCGGGCCCGGAGCGCCACACTACAGTCGATTTTCGTTTTTTCCAACCGCCTGCCCTCAGCAGCAGAGTCTTCGGCCTGGATCTCCGGATTGTCAGGGGGCATAGACCTCTTCGAGAAAAAACAGCGGAGCGAAATCAAAAGTTGGGGGACTGAACAAATGCAGGAACTGGTGGCCTATGGAAGGAGTAACCGGATTCCTTTCTGTTTCATATTCTGTATTCAGCACATATAATATATATATATATATATATAACTATATCCACATGCCGTGTACACACCAGCTGCCATACACTACAGGAGTCAATAAATAAGGTGCAATATTTCCAAACCTTTGGCTGGCTACAGACTTTGTTTAGCCACCCCCAGAGTGGGGAGAAATCCTTTAAACAGCGTGAGCAGGGAAGAACTAGGTGCATAAGAGAAAGCACTACTTCTTGGGCGCTCGCAGGCCTGTTCTGCCCTGCATCAGTCCCCAGGATGCAAAGCTGGGCTCCTCAAGGCTTTGTTCATCAACTTCTTTTTACTCTAGTAGGGAGGACCGGTCGGAGACTCGGGGCCTTTTAATCCCCCGAGTTTTTACTCAGATGCTTGGGCTAGTGCCCGAGCCCTCGTTAGATCAAGGCTTAGACTCTGCACCACCTCTAGGGTCGCCCAAGAAAAGGAAACCTCGTCCCAGGCCAGCCGTAGGCGGCGCGAACGTGGCTTCTACGGCTGCCGCCGGGGCTTCCAGCGCGCCCGGGAGCGCTGCGCCCCGCCGCGGCCGAGCTCTCCCCCTCGGCCGCCCTCCCTTCTCCCCCGGCGGCCGCGGCTTTATGCCGTTCCTTGTCACTTGCGGAGAATGCCGTGCGAGGTCTGTGCTGCCACACGGCCGATTGTGAGCGTGCCAAGGCGGGTGAATGGGGAGGCCTCAGAGCGCCGCGCCATTGTGGGGCCGGGCCCTGCTGAAAGGCGGCTCCGGGCCGGGAAGGTGCGGAAAGAATGGCTTTTTATTGGAGTCCTGAACAAAAGGTGTGGTAGGAAGGCGAAGTCCCCTGCACGAACAAAAACCCCAGCGCGTCGGGATTGACGTCCCCCCCGAGCTCCCTATTGCTTCTCAGAGCGGGGGCTTTGTGCAGCAGTCTGCTCAACAGAGGGACGGAGAAATGCGCTGGGGTTTTGTTCCCCACTTTTTGTGAGCTGGGGGAGGGGGCGCAGGGAGGGACAGGGTCTGGGCGGGCAGCAGGGAGGGGCGCGCTGATTAGGCCCGGCGGGCCCGGGAGCTGAGACGTTCAGCGGGAGTCGGCTGCCTGAATGCAGGGTCATTATTGCTACAAGTTTAGCAATTTCGCCTTTACTGGAGGGGGCAGGGGCTGCTAGGCTGCAGCGGGGCCGCCAGGCTGGGGAGCAGCAGAGACCAAGGGGAGAAGGAAGAAAAAGAGAAGGGGAGGAGTAGAGGGGAGGCAAGGGAATCCTCCAAAACCCGCTGACCGCCCAGGATGAGGCTTGGACGCGACCAAAAGGGCCTAGCGGGAGGCTGGAGAGGCGGCGCCTGGGGAGGGAAGACCCTCCCTTTCCTCGCCTTTCTGGAAGCAGAAAGACCCTGAGTCCGAGCTTGAGTTACTGTACCAGACTGCCGGTCCCTCAGCTACTTGCCGCCAGTTCCCTAGTTTCTGAAAAGCCGCTGTGGAGCTAGGACACCGCCTCCCAACACCGCGTTCACCACCGTGAAGCCCCAAGCCCCCTTCCTAGCAGCTCTCTCTTCTGGAGCTATTATCTTCCCCCAAGTTGCTAAGGCTAAGGTCTGAGGAGGATATTCTCCCTTCTTAACACGTTTCTCACTGCCTGCGGCTGCAAACGACGCATTCATCCATCCATCCATTCAACAGCATTTACTGAGCACCTACTAAAATATTTTCACTTGCACTGTTCTGGATGCTGAGGACAGTGAAAAAGAAGCGTTCTCGGGTGGATGAAATTTATTTTCAGGGGTGCGTTGGCAAGGAGGTAGACAACAAACAAATACGTGTAAAAATAGTCAATAAATTCTAAAAAGGAAATAGAACCAAGTGCCGGAGGGAGGGTTCTTTAGAGCAAATGGTCAAGAAAGCCACGTGGAGGAGATTACATTTAACTGATGCCTGAATGACAAACAGCCAGTCCAAACAGAGCTTTGCTGTTGCAGTCTCCATGCCTCTGCACATGCCCTCCCATAGTCTGGAATCCCCTTCATTCCCATCTCTCTGGTGGACCCTTGCTCCTCCTTCAAACCAACCTTCTTTCCTGAACCACCAAGTGGAGGTAATCACTCCCTCATATGTTCCACCAGAGTCTTAGGTACTTTCCAATATCACAACATAGTGTCATGCAAAGATTTATCTGTGTCTCTCCCTCCACGTGAGGTCCCAGTAAGGTTGCAGGGTATGTGTGTGGGGCGGGGGGGGGGGGAGACAGGTTGGCGGCATCTTTTCCTCTGGGATAATTAACACAGGAGAAGATCATGAGGCCAGGCTCCTTCAGGGCCACCTAGCCAGGTGCTCCAAGACCCTGCTGATAGCCCCAATGGTGTCAAAACTGCCTGACACTGGATGCTGACTGCAAGGGAGATGTGGGCTGGGCTCTTGGCTTATCTGGGCAGAGCCAGGACAGCTGAAATCACCAGTGGAAGACGTGCAACCCAACTGATCCCAGAGGAAGTTCCCGCCTTCAGTACTCCAAGATGCTGCCCCAGGGATAGGCTTTCCCCAGGAGTTGTTGGGGAAGGAGGCTGAAAACTTGGTAATGACTTTGACACCAGGACAGAAAATTTAGGTGTGGGGAACATGCAGGGATAAGGAGGAGCGAGGACTTGGGCACGGTGGGGGATTAAAAACTCAGATGTATAGGATAAACCCTGGACCTACATCTGGGACCCATTCGGAATTCCCCTTCATTCATTAGATGAGGAATATGGTAGGTGATTGAGATGCTGCCTGTGCCCTGGGAACACTCTCTTCTAAGGTGGGATTTCAGCGCCTTTGCACCAGAATCCCAGGGCTCTGGGAGTAGACGCACTTGCTCCCCTGGGGGTTTTCTACGTAAGCAACTTAATCTCCAGCCTTGTATTCCTCTGGGTCGTGGCCTCTCAGTGCTCCCAGTTCTAGACCCCCACCTTCCTTGCCCGTCTTCCTTCTGGCCCGCATTTATCTTTCTTATTCTGCATCCCCTCCTGTCCTGGGGGTGGGGTGGGGAAAGGCGTGTGACCCTAATAGAGGAAACAGAGCTGGTGCTACGGATTGGTTTCCGAGCAGTTTGCGTGTCTTGAGATACTTAAAGCCAGCCTGGATCAGCCCCCTTCCCGCTCCTTACCCTTCCCCAGAGCCTGCAGTCTCCGCATATAAATAGCTCCCCATCTCTTCGCTGAAGGATTTCCGCACTGCTCCTTGCTGGGATTCCAGGGCCTTGGCCATTGGAGGGTCCTGACCAATACAGCTACCTCTCCCTTAAGCTCCCTCTGAGGGGGAAAAGACTTCTCCCAGGCCCAAACTGCTGCTTCCCTGGATTGTCCTGTGAGCCAGGAGGAACCTCGTAGCCCAGCCAGGTCTTCTAATGACCCATGAGATTTGAACAGGTGAAGTAAGTTGTCCTTTCGGGCTCTGGTTTCCAAGCTCTCAGACAGAGAGAAAGATGGACTATAAAATATCAGAGATTACTTCTGGCTCAGGCCTTTCGTACTTCCCTGAATGGGTGGCTTATCCATCCGCACCCAGCGACTGGTGCCCCACCTCAACTTAAGAACTGAATAGACTCCACTGGCGGAGGAAGTGGAATAGGTTTTAGAAGACCAGCATTTTTTTTTTTTTTCTGCAGAACCCAATCTTGAGGGGTCAAGAGGCTGGACTCTGGAGTGAGGCTGCCTCCTTTCTCACCTCAAGCACTGCCACAGCCAGTGGTAAGGACCTTGAGTAAGTTAGGAGCTCTCTGAACCTGTTTCCTCTATAAAATGGGTATGCTTATAGCACCTCTCTCACAGGTTTTTTAAGCTACGGTAAAACGCTCAGCTTTTAAGCGTACAACTCAATGAATGTTTATGTATGTAAACGCTCATGTACAAATCATCTTGGCTTTGGAAAACAAATGAGATGATCCATGTAAAAGCAGCTTCGCGCAGTGTCTGGTACGCACCAGGCATTACATCAATGTTATATAGGCCAGGCCGATGCTAGGCGCTGTGTATGCTGAGAAGCCCAGGACTCTATTCTGCCCTTGAGGCACTCCCAGGTCTGTGGTGGGGAGCCGGCAGGCCAGGTGGTTCAGAACCCCAACACCGCAGGCGGGCGTCACCACAGAGGCTGGGCGGAGTCACTGCGGCTTCGCACAGGCTTGGACCTTTAATGGTTTTGTTAAATTCGACGTCAGGGGAAGGCGAAAGGGGGTGCCAGCTGGAGCTTCGGGGCACCTCTAGCTCGTTCGGGCGGGGAGGAAAGGTTCGGGAGGAGAAACCCATCCCCTCTCCGCAGGGCTTCTCCTGGGTCCCGCGCTCAGCCGCTCCGCCGCACAGCCAAAGTAACCGGC